AGCAATTCTCTGTGTGTTAATGTGTTTTTATTATGTTCTTCCCGTAGCTTCTATCATCTGCATAGTGTTATAACTTAATTTTTAAGAGAAAATATATAAATATCAATTATCTGTCTCCTAAATAAAAAAAGTATTTGGTGTTAAGGTGTTTTTTTCTGGTGTGTTTCCTGTCACTTCTATCACTTGCATGTTATAACTTAATTTTTTGAAAGGAAATCTTAAGATGATTTAAGAATAAACTGTAAAGTGCATGAATCGTTCATTGTGAATTATAGCGTGTGTTGAAGTTAAAGTGACTGTGGAAATTAAGTGTATTGCAAAATTGTATTGTAGTAAGTAAAGTGCGTGAATTTTTCGTTGTGAATTATAGCGTGTGTTGAAGTTAAAGTGACTGTGGAAATTAAGTGTATTGCAAAGTTGTATTGAGAAAGAATAAACTAGTTTTATTTAAGAAAGGACTTGTATCGCTGAAGTTTCTGGGAAAGAATTTCTACGGAAAATTAACAAACGAACACAGACGTAACACTATCTTATCTCCATAAGTTTGTAATCCTTTACATTACATTTCAAGCGGTAATTGAAGATAGTATTATAAATACGTCATTTATACGTATTCTGCCTTAATTCCTTTATTCTCTTCGCTTTCCTTCCATAAAGGGTTTTTTTTCTTTCTTTCTTTTGGTTTTATTGCAAAAACTTTTTCGTTTTCACTGAGTTTTTTTTTGTTTTTTTTCACGTTCGAACGTTTCCAGTTCCTTACTCATCACTGCAGTCGAAATGTTTGGCTTCCTGCCAGGTCGGTTCGTGTTCGATTAGTTCCTACTTAAAGAACTCCAGTGTTGCGCATTGTTGCTACCACAAGGCATTATAAATCCCATAAGTGCAAGTTAACCCTAGGATGTGTGTCCTCGAGACACAACGAAAAACAAAATCGAATAATATGTGCGTGTGGGATTTTGTTTAAGCTGCTATATCATCTCATACTCGTATATTACTTTCAAAGTGAATAATCTAAACATTCCCCTTATTTTATACTCACATTTCTTTAGCCGATTTACAACTAAATCTAACCTATAGGTACTTCTTAGTGATCCTGCTTAAAGTCTGATGCAGGCTGAGAACAGATTTTTGTAAATTTCGCCGTGAAAAGTTAACATTTGTAGTGGAACTTTCTAATTTAAATTGATTTCCTATGTTATTGTTTCTTCATTCAGCGGATATCCCAAAATTATCTTATGATCCTTTTGAAGTATAAGATATTCTGGTATAGACAATACGTAACTCACTACTAAGATTATCTTATCAGCGCCTTAACTTTATCACATGTTTTTTTAGGTTTTGTTTTTTATGTATTTAGAGTAAAATGAAAGTGTTTGCAATGAATGAATTCCAATATGGCCAGATTTCATTTTGCCCAGTACTACATATTATTTTGATAAATCAAACTGTAAGTTCTTTATAGAATTATAAAGAAAATGTTCGTACAATTTTCAATGTGCAACTGCTTGTCAGGTCCTAAGTTTAAAACAATTATATAACTAAACGTAGAGTGAGTTTTGAATTATAAGTTATAATAATTGAACATATCGATATATATATATATAGTATGTAAGTAAATGTAGTTGAAAAACAGGTAGGCAGGCTATCATACATTGGATTATAAATTTTTATGGATTTAATCTGCCTGAAATATAGAGGTATAATACATTTTGTTTTTTATGCTGAAGCTTGCTTTTATCAGGTTATTCACTAAGCAGTCCGTTCTTATGCTAATTTAAAGATAGATAGATGCATTAATCAATATTTGGGTGAAAATCATTACGACATGTCATCTGCACTTAATGTTCTAGCAAGTAATTATCACATTATCAATTAAAAACGTCTTCAACTGCGCGTTAATCACTAAGTTTGGGTATTTAACGACACTAAGGAACTTCAAAATAAAAGTTCAGTAACATAATGAACACAAAAACTAACTCTTGCCACATACGTTCCCGATAATTTAGAAGCAAAAAATAGCAGTCAGGTATTTATAATTTTTTAAAGCATTTGAAGGTATTACTGTACTATTTAATTTATTTGAAAGCATTTGAAGGTATTACTGTACTATTTAATTTATTTGAAAGCATTTGAAGGTATTACTGTACTATTTAATTCATTTGAAAGTATTTGAAGGTATTACTGTACTATTTAATATATTTAAAAGCATTTGAAGGTATTACTGTACTATATTTGAAAGCATTTGAAGGTATTACTGTACTATTTAATATATTTGAAAGCATTTAAAGGTATTACTGTACTATTTAATATATTTGAAAGCATTTGAACGTATTACTATACTATTTGATTTATTTGAAAGCATTTGAAGGTATTACTGTACTATTTAATTTATTTGAAAGCATTTGAAGGTATTACTGTACTATTTGATTTATTTGAAAGCATTTGAAGGTGTTACTGTACTATTTAATTTATTTGAAAGCATATCAAGGTATTACCGTACTATTTAATATATTTGAAAGCATATCAAGGTATTGCCGTACTATTTAATATATTTGAAAGTATATCAAGGTATTGCCGTACAATTTAATATATTTGAAAGCATATCAAGTTATTACTGTACTCCAATTACTTAAGGCATATTAATCAAAAGGATAAATTTTAAGCTCATCAAGAGAAAGGTAATTTCTTGTTATTAAAGTTTGACATAAAATATGAAGTAAGACTTGCAAACAACGCTAAAGATTTTAGAACCATTCAAACCGCTAGTAAATTTACATAATTTTATATGCATATCAAGCAGCATGGCACCAAAACTTATTATAATTAGTAGTAAGAATTTGGTCAATACGTGTTTTCAAATTTCTGATCTAATTTTTTCATCTGATGAAAAATCACATGATTATTTTTTTAATGAACATGAGCAATTATGTTGTAAATACAACAGTTGAAAAACTGTAAAGAAGATGAAGTTTTTTTTACACCTGGTAGTAAAGTCACTCTGGCTCACACCATTTATCTGTCTCTTAAATAAAACGAGCAGTTGGTAGTGATAAATTCTAGCAAGTACAACTGGATCTGAGTCAAGTGTCGTTCAAAATGTATGTGATTGACCAATGTTTATACGCGATGCAAAAGAATACAAAACTTTTATCCTTTATTTCTCAGGTTTTACTTCTTGATAGCTACCTCCTGCTATCTTTTCTAATTACGGTTTGTGTCTGTTTTTTACTTCAGGGGTAATAACCGTTTTATTCTAACAACACTAGTACAGGTATAATAATGGTTGGAGACGGCTTGAAT